TGATACTTCCCTTGTTGCTGCCACAAAATAATTTTGCTGAATCTATTTCATTTTAAAGTTGTGTTCTCAAACACTACAGTGACTACACATTTGCTAACTTTTCCCATAATTGCCTTCAGATACTGACATTGAGTTTTAACACTTAAGATCAGCCTCTGCTTTTGCATTGGCTTGCTCCTTTGGCCTTTTGGTTAGGAGCAAGCATGACTGTGGGATGGGAGGGGATCTGAACTCCAACACCTTTGGGTTTGGGGCCTGCACATAGGATGCCTACAATGGATTTGGGAAGTAGCCGAAGTCCCAGAGGGAGGAAATGTGCCCAGTGGTAGAGCCACATAGACTTGAATGACTGATTTGGAATTCAGAACTAATTCAGCCTGAAGCCAAAAAACTATGGTAGTTTCCCAACAGCATATTCACCCTATATGGGCCATGTGTTTTATAGTCACGCTCAGTATTGGCTGCATTTAATCAACTTCATAGCTAGTCTCCATTACTGAGCACATTCTGCTTTTGGCAGCAATTTAATGAGGTTTCCTTGTAAGAGAGGCATGTAAGAAAGGCACTTTCCCTTCCATGCTGATTGCGGGTGGGGTGGATGGTATTCATCTTGTATTCAAGTAAATAAGATACATTTTCAAGTATTTCTCTGCAGTTATTAGGGATTCAACCATTTTTTAAAACAAAATCTGAAATTATCAGTCAATAATCTGATTCTAAAAGATGGGGCTCTAAGGAAATACCAACAAATACGAGTATTGGCCCCAGTGATTTTCTGACATGCAATCGTCTAACTACACAGACCTGTACTGCAGACCCATGGCCATTTGGACTGACCTACAGATCTATCACTTAATTCAAATATCCAAGGGCACACAAGTTGGATGACTGCATATTCAGATGTCTTCTTGTGCTCCATTTTGACTGAAAACTACAGTCAAGCCCATAATAGGCACAGCTTTGTATAGCTTCATACAGTGGTCACACATACTGAGCCAAATAACAGTAAGTAAAGCTGGAGTATCTCATCAGCTTTGTTATCTAGTTTGGAAAGAAAACTGTACAAATTCTTACCTTGTGGTGGCCAGGCTTTATAACACATTTACTAGGAAGGACCAGTCAACATTGTTCTATAATGAACCTCACAAAAGTCTGTCCATATTATAACTAAACTGCTCAAAGCTAAATGTTGCCTGACAGAATTTTGTCAGAGGCTATGTCTTAACTGCAATTAGCAATACTCAAGTTAAAAACCAGGGCTGTGTGAAGCTTCGCTGGCTGTTTCATTTCAATGCTGTTTTGACTCATTTCCAGCTCAAAACAGTGAAACCAAAGCGAAATGAAGAGCTTCGAAACAGCCTCGAAATGAAACAAGGGCAGGCAAAATGTTTAGAAAGTTTCAAAATATTTTGAATTCTGAAGCAGCCTGGTGGTGGTGGGAGGTGGGGAGAATCAGGGCTGTGCTCCAAGTGGCTCCACAGCACGATGTGGCTCAGTCCTACAGGGAGCGCAGTCCTGGCTCTCCCCACTTCCTTGGATTGGCTCTGGTTTGGGGCCCAGGGAAAATCAGCTCATGAGCAGACCTGCCACTTCCCTGATCCTGAGGTGGCAGCAGGTTCCTGCATGAGCTGATTTTCCTTGGGCCCCATACCAGAGCTGATCAGAGGAGGATGCAGGGCCTGGGGCAAATCACCTTGCATGGGGACCCACCACTGCCCCGGGATGGCGGTCCCCGCGTGAGCTGATTTTCCCTGGGCCCCACACCAGACCCAGTTGGAGAAGGGTGCAGGCCCAGGGCATCAGCTCGTGCGCAAACCCACCACCACCCCAATCCTGAGGTGGTGATGGGTCCCCGCGTGAGCTGATTTTCCCTGGGATCCATGCTAGAGCCAATCAGAGGAGGGTGCAGGGCCCAGAGAAAATTGGCTCATGCGGGGACCTGTCCCTGCCCTGGGATCAGGGCGGGTCCCCAAATGAGCTGATATGCTTTGGGCTCCATACCAGAGCCAGCCCAAGGAGGGAGTGGGGCCTGCGGCAAATCAACACATGTGGGGACCCACCCCCAGGGATCAGGGCAGAGGTGGGTCCCCACACAAGGTGATATGCCCCAGGCCCCATACCAGAGTCAGCGGGGCTCAGGGCAAATCAGCTCATGCAAGGACCCACCTCTGCCCCGATTCTGGGGTGGGGGCAGATCCCCGCACAGTGGGTCCCCATACGAGCTGTTTTGCTCCAGGCCCACCTGCTGCTGGTCCCAGGCAGCAGCACCAGCCTCCTGTGATCTGGGAGGCAGATCAGAGGCCCACACCCCCAGGAGCAGTCTGGCACAGCCCCTGCAGCCTTCCCAGGGGTGCAGGCAAGTCCCCAATCTGCCTGCCGGATGACAGGAGATTACTGCTGCCCGTGCTGGGAAAATCGGTGCTGCTACTGGTGAAGATAGGTGCTGCTGCTGGTGAAGATCGGTGCTGCTGCTGCTGGCTGTGGGTGAAACGTCAAAACAGCACTGAAACAGCCAAAGAGTTTCAATGAAATGGAACAGTGCTTTTGAAACGAAACTCAAAATGAAACACTGTTCTGTCGAAATGTCAAAACAGAAGTCTAAGCGGAACAATGTTGTTTCACATAGCCTTATTAATAACCTTTTGTGTTAGCTTAGGTGGTATGAGAGCAGCCTTAATGACAAATTACTGTATGGTTACAGAGTAGTTTTGTTAGCTGCTGATGAGTGTTGCTAATACGAGCTGTACTTTCTTTTCCCTAAGGATGTCTGTACATGTGCTCTGGGGTGGGGGTGCGGGAGCATTTTAATTAGAACAGTTCCCAGACAGCATCTCTAATTAAAATGCCACCATGTTATTCAGCATCCCACGTTTCAAAATGGCCGTGGGGATGCTTTAACTAAAGTTAATTCAACAAGTTTCAGTTAAAGCACCCCCCCACTACTATTTTCAAATGCTTGATACTGAATGTGTGTGATGCTGCAATGCACTGGAGCCAGAATTCGAACTTGTCAACAGAGACTCAATTAATCGTGTACATGTATGGGCACCCTACCAGAACAGCTAACTCGGTAAAAGCACTAGTCCACGGCATGAAAAGGTTTTTGCCTGGGCTCAGATATGAAAAAGGATTTGAGTGTTTAAAGTAGGACTTAGGCAGAACTTAAGGGTGTTTATATACGTGCTCCAGGAGTAGGAGGAGTGGGCTGCTACATTTTGGGCTTGGAGAGCTGCTCAAATTAAAGTGCCCAGAGTGTCTCATGTACCAGTGTTCCTGCACTTAAAAATGATGGCAGGGGCACTTTATCTAAAACTCGTGGAACAAGCTTTGAATGAAGTGCCCGGCCACCATTTTTAAGTGCAGGGATGCTGACGCATGAGACACTGGCTGCTGCTGCTGCTGCTGGAGCACGGTAATTACCATCTGATGCGCTGTAATTACAGCATGTCAGAACAGCTTCGCTGTCTAAATCCAAAATGTAGATCCTTTAAACCCCTGCTCAGCTGCAGCCTAACTTGGAAACGCCTCACGTTTTTTAAAAAGAAATACTTCCAAATACCAAATATTCTCCAAATACCTAAAGTTCTGCCTCTGGGCATGCCCTGCTGAGACCCTCAAAACAGGTGTACATTGACTTGTCTTGCCTGCTAGGTGTTCAACAGGATAGGCACAAAATGTAGCAGCAGCCAGCTTCTTTGAAAACGTATTGCTGTTATGGTGATAGTGTTGTTTCTCCCTATAGTGAAGTGGTTAGAGCATTTGATCAGGATGAGTGGAGACATGATCTCCAGTCCCTGCTCCAATAGTTATTTCAGTATTTTATCTTGCAACTATTTAATTTAAAATACACAAACAGTCCTTGCAGCAAGGTCTAAAACCACCGTCTCCCTATCCAAGAAAAGCTTACACTCTGGTAGTTAAAGCCACACTTGCCATATTTTGTGTAGAGCAGGGGTGGCCAAGTGTATGCCAAGTGTAATATGAGCACCCTCACTACGTGGCATGCAGATCAGGGAGGAAACAGAAAGCAGAGGAATAAATCAGGCAGGGGAAGGGGATTGAAGTGGCACTTAGGGAGGGTGCAAGGCTCATCTTGTTTCATGTCTACCAAAAAGGTTGGCCTCCGCTGGTGTAGAGCCAAATCTAATGAATTAAACCCCTCTGGCAACATAAGTGGAGAAACACCTACTCTGTTGATTTTGATAGGACTGGGGTGAGCCAAGATTGTGAAAGAGACCAAACTGGGACAGGTACTGTAGGAAGGGGATGGGGGAAAAAGGTATCAAAGAATATGTGATATTGTAATTAAGACCGTCTCATAATGCACTCATAGAAGGGAAATAAACTAAAACAGAGCAGACAACTTAACTCTGGTCTTCCCTATGCTCTAAGTCAGTGGTTCTCCCCCTTTTAGACTTGAAACAGCCCTGGATGCACTCAAGGCACCCCTCCAAAAATGCTAGCTCTTAGTTTTCACTCTTCATTGCCTACAAAAAAAATAACAGAGCAGTTTTTCTGTTGCAATAGACTCAGAAAGACCACAACTCTGGATTGCTACATCACTGTAGGGTGGTGTCTAGACGTGCCCACAGAGACTTCTCCATAGCAGTGGAAGAACCGGGGCCTGTACCACATTGCAAGTGATGGCAGAGCGCAGCTAATACAAGAGGGAATCAGCAGAACAGACCGTTGGGGTAAACCTGGGGCCCAGAGACAATAAAAAGAACGAAACTGCAGGGAATAAAGGAGGTTTCTGCCTCGGCTCCTGCCCAGGGAGTTGCATCGCAGGTGCTGCCTGGGCCAGCCGGGGGTCCAAAAAAAAAAAAAAAAAATCTGGCTAAAGTAGGATCTGGAAGCTGAAGTATTAACTCACGTGCCCTTTTCCTTGTGCCCTCCAGAGCTGCAGGCACTGAGCCCCCAGAGGGGACACACAGGCGTGGCACAGGGGTGTCCCCCCCCCCACCCCCAGTGCTGCCCCGCCAGGCACTGGGCTTACTCACACGTGAGACATGGCTCCGGTGCTGGCTCCTGTCCTCGCCGCCCTGCGCTGCCGCACACACACAGACACACACACCTCCCCCCACAGCCACCCCACGGACTCTCACACGGACACACAAACACACCCCCGCACACACTCACCCACACAGACACCTTCCCTCCCCGCCCCACGGGCTCACACACACGGGGATGTACACACGCACCCAACCACACAGGCACCCCCACAGACTCGCAGACACACACAAACACCTGCAACAACACTCGTGCCCCCGCTCGGGGCCGGGCCGGGCCGCAGCTGAGGCCGAGGGCGGAGGCGGCGCTGGTTGGCGGCCCGCTCTGCTTCCCTGGCGACAGGGGCCGTTGCTATGGAAGCCAGCGGGCCCCGCGGCGGCGGCTGCGGCAGGGCCCGGGTGTGGTCGGGGATCGCCGCCTCCACCCCGGGTTAGGACAGTTGCAGAGGAGCCGGCCCGGCCGAGGACACACGTCTCCGCCCCGGAGTCCGGCTGCTCTGCTGCGACCTGCCCCTCCGCCGCGCCCCGCACACCTCGCCCATGCCCCCGCCTGGGAGCTCCTCTGCTCCAGTTCACCTACATGGCTCAATAAATCCAGCCCCACCACACGTGCCCAGCCCCATGTCAGTCCCGCCACAGGAGCAAAGGGCTTATCATGCAACTGGGGAATCGTGCAATAAGCTGACACCGGCTGCAGGTGCAAAGCCATTATCGCCCTACAAAAAATGACTCTCCAGCTATAAAAAAAGAACCAGCCGGCTGTAAAGGGAGCACCTGAAAATGTCGCTGGTTTCTATCAAGCTTTCATTTGAACGTATATTACACAATTTGCTGGGGAATCTCCCGAGATACTTAGACTGGCTGCACGTGCTAGGTAATGGTCACGCAACTGGTCAGTCATGCAGTGAATTCAGGCCAGCCACGCATGCAAAGTAAGACGGGTCACCAGGGCAAAGTAATTGTCACACAATGAACTGGTGGCCTGAACAATACATTTAGACCAGCCACACCTGCAATGTGAGATGGGCCACCAGTGCAAAGTAACTGTCATACACTTAACTGGGCAACTGCGCAATACATTTAAACACTTGCAAAGTAAGATCAATGAAAAGTAGTTGTCACAATGAACTGGTGAATTGCACAATATATTTTGACTGGCCACAGATGCTAGGTCATTTTCACACCATAAAATGACTATCCCCTTATAAAAACAGCCAACTGGCCACAATGTTAGTGCTTGAAAATGTGTAACAACTCCATAGCTGGTTTCTCTCCAGTTTAAATTTGAACATGTAGAAGGGCCCTCAGAGTCCATTAGGAAGTTTGCTTAGAGACATTTTCTTCCCTTTCATTGGATTGTACACCCTATTTCAGCAATGGTAGGCTGGCCAGCAGAACCAGTTCCTAATATACTGGCATTCCAGGGATCCTTTCAAATCATTTCAGTGGAATGCTTTCCATAAATATGGGGCGAAAAAACACATAAAAAGAATGCAAAATATTTCTTTGCTAATAAAGCAGAGTTACAACCTCTTTCTGAGAACACAGATGAACCCCCCCCCCCCC